GGGGGGGATTTCAGAGGAGGATAGACTCTCTAATGGCATTACAGTGTTAATAGGGGCGTTGAGCCCATACGATGTCAAGACAACACACGACTCTTGTGAGGACGGGTAAAGAGCAAAGAATATGTTTTTATACTCACACATTACAATGTAGTAGGTTGACATATATACGTACATTCAATGTCACTAAAAGCTCTGATATGTTCCGACACTGGTTAGTGGACTTCATTTAGTCCACATCGCCAGCTGAGGAAGCAGAGTGCTCACACATTCATACATAAGAAATCATCATCACCAGAAAGTCCAGATCTGAACCAGACATCGTCGATCGTGGCTCTCCGTTCATTTCAACGATTTGATACTCCTTTAAGTATTAAGAAATACCCATAGGTAAAAGGAAAGGTTGATGAGACAGAAAATCGCAAACGATATCTTGTCAAGAGCCCAGGCTGAGAGTCTCCACGAGTCATTGCAAGCGTAATAATGCACCATCTTACTCCGGGATAAGCATTTTCCTTCGGGCACAATAGTATTATTCTTTCTTCTTCTAAAACGTCTTTCATCTTCGGTTTCTAGTTCTGCTTCTTCGAGAATTTTAGGTTCTTTTTCTCCACACTTCAACCCGTCTTGCTCTTTCTTCATTTGCTTTCTTTTCTCAGCCGAGCATGTTGATACGAAGCAGTCTGCAGACCCCAAGCTCACCGTTTCAACAGAGTTGCTTCCCTTAAAGGAAACGTTGAGCTGGTCGATTTCCTGTTTGTAGACGGGCAACACTTTTATTGTTGATGTTGTACCGTCTGCTGGTCTCACGGTCTTGTTCTCCAGAGAATTGCTTCCCGTTTCGGAACTGACATTGAGTTGGTCAACTTCCTCTTGGTAGCGGTGCAGCACGAGAGTGGTGGCGGCCATGGCGACCACACATGACACACTGGTGCCAGACAGGAAGCAAGCCAGACGGGGGACCTCAGACACGTTTCTCGGTAGGATGGACCTACACGGTACAGGGAAGAAAAATTGTTGTCACTGAATTCAGGACATGGCAATGCATTTATTATGAGTTTCTTTTTAGCGGGGGTGTTGGGTTTTTTTTGTTGGGTTTTTTTTTTGGGGGGGGGGTTTGGGGGGGTACGTTTTGGGTGTTCTCTGTTTATTTTGTTGTTGTTTTGTATTTTGTTTGTTCGTTTGATTTAGTCCGTTTCTTTTTTATTTCTTTTAGGAGGGAAGCAAAAAGAACCGTTGCCCATCAGTATGAGGTGCACACATGTACATGTGCAGTCTGACATTTGGGCCAACCGGTTTGCCCTTGATTTGACCTATTCGTGGAAAGTTTGGAACCATATCCTCACAAAAGAACAAACACACAAACAACCCCATAGCTTCACAGCATGGACTATCCCGAACAAAGCTAAATCAGCCCGCGTCAGTACTGTGGTAGTTGGGCTCTTGGCCACTTCACACAGAAGCCATTTATTACACTCCACCATGGGGAAATTATTACAAATGGCATCGATGTGGAGGAGTTTTTCTAAAGTGTATCTCCGTCTGCCTGCCAGAAACAGCACATGTATCCCATTCTGCCTGCATGAAAATTTGTTGAAGCGGTCCGGCTCCTAAATGATCTAAAATCGTGTAGATTGGGGGGGGGGGGGTTTACGAAAAAACTAAACCAACAATTGTAATAATGCAATTGTAAAGGTTTAAGATCCCAACTGACACCATTAAGATCATTCAAGTTCAAGAGGAAGCTACTTCGACCCTGTCTGCTTAGGTCAACCTGGGCTCAGAGAGATACAACAATGTCCCGGCAGAAAGCCGGCGATACTCTATTAAAATTCTCCCCTCTCGGGAATCGAACTCCACTTCTTCTGCGTGTGACGGCGAAGCGCCTCGCCTAACTACGATACCACAGGCGCCAGTTGAAATATCAACCACTCACCCGACGAAATTGAAAAAGACGGTGTTGGACAAGAACAGGGCCACGAGGTAGGACATTTTCTCCCCACACCCAGGAGGCATCCAAAACACCAGCGGAGTGACCAGTGACGTCACCACCAGGGGGGCGATGAGGAACAGGTTGTAGTACAGGGACGCTCTCTTCAGGGTCAAGGTCAAGGCCAGGAAGCGTACAGGGCCAGGGGTGTCCTTGCTTTCCACGGTTTTGTGCTCTATGGACCACTCACCAGGCATAGAGAGGAAATTGTAGAGGGGTTCCTGGCGAGAGTTGAGTGTCGAAGACGTTAGCTTCATTAGTCCTTTTATCATATTAATCATTATCGGCATTGTTGTTGTCCTCTTCATCAACATCGTCATCATCATCACCATCATCCTCATCATTTCATCATTGTCATCAGTAGCAACAGCAGTAACAGCAACAGCAGAAGCAGCAGAAGCAGCAGAAGCAGCAGAAGCATTATCATCATCATGGAAGTTTTGAGAAAATGTTGTCTTATAACTTGAGTAGGAATTACTGTATTAGTATTATTTTGTATTTTATGTACCCAGAATGTGTATGTAGTTTCATCGTAGTGCATCTTGGGTCTTCATCAGTAGCAGCATCAGTATCAACAGCAACAACAAAAAACCAACATTACAATCATCACCATCACCGTTACCATTGTTTGTTGTAGAGTAATAAACATAGCAGAAAGAGACTTTCCAATTCCCTGTTATATTACATGTACAAGTATACGATCTCCTGGACAAGGCCTATGTGCTGTTGACACAATCAGTGTCATACCAAATTATACACAGGGTGATTAAAAAAGAACAGAGATCTACGCCAAAATTATCAAACGATATTTCAAAAACGAAAAACAATAAAAAGAAAAAAAAAGAAGAAAAAACAAAAACTCTTGCTTGGACACATGTGTTGTACATACTGTCATTACTTTCAAGCTTGTATTTCATGTTTTACCAGTGTCCAATGTGGCCACCACCGGTAGCATAGACAGCATCAAGCCGATATGAAAATTTCTCTCAAACGCGCCTCAGAATGTCTCAGGCCAGTGTAGCTGTTAAGTTATTCGATATTTCATGGCATCATTACATGGATTTGGTCGAAGTGGTGGAACATAAACTTTGTCCTAAACAAACACCAAAAAATGTTTTAATATTCACACACATTAAAGTTCGGGGATCTGGCAAGCCTACAGCTGAGAGCAAAGTCTTTAGCACCTCTCTACCAATCCACCGCTGAGACACGTTTTCATTCAGATAATCTCGAACCCAGAGATGCCAATGCGGCGGTGCTCCATACTACTGAAAAATTAAGTCATTCGAATCTGCGTGCAATAAAGTGAATAGCCACTTCTTGTGCGGGGTATGTTAAAGACAAAGTTTATGTCCTCCAGCAAATATCAAAGACATGAAAGATCGAATAGCAGCAACAATCAACACGGTGGACTGAGACATCCTGGGGTGGCTTGGAAGGAATCCCCATATCGACTTGATGTTGTCCGTGCTCCCGGTGGTGGCCACATTGAGCACTTGTAAAACATGAAATACACATTTAAAGGTATGTACAACACATGTTTATGACAAATTTCTTCAGACACACAATGCGGAAAGAAGCATTAGAGAATATTGTAACAACAGGCAAGTTTGAGGGAAAGAGAGGCAGAGGCAGACAGAGGGAAAAGATACTGGACAAGATGACAACATGGCTAGGAGCAGCAAGAACAACAGACACCATTGTTGCAGCGCATGACAGGGTAAAATGGAGGTCCATGATCGCCCACGCCAGTCGGCAAGGCACCAGATGATGATGATGACAACACATGTGTCCAAGCTGGAGTATTCTAATGTCTCTCGTTTCTTTAGATATCTCGTGATGATTTTGGAATATTTTTTTTTTAATCACCCTGTGTATTATATCATACTTACGTGCTCAAGCATGAAATGCACGTGCGGCCGTATGACCACATCACCGCCCATCACCACCATCATGACGTCACAGTGCTGGGTGTCGAAGGGGAAGAGGGAGAGGTCGAACCTGCAGGAGGTCTTTATGAACTCGGTGTTGTGGGACTCCACGGAGCCGCTGTGCAGCACGCGGAGCAGGGGCGGGTGTTGTAGCATCACCTGATTCTCGTCCGCGCTGTTGGTGATGTACACCATTGGGTGCCAGAGACTGGCGGAGAACAGGGG